AATGTATTGGCTGAGTATTAATCTCACAATCTCTATTTTTTTTATCTCAAAGGAACCATCCTCTCTCTCTGTGTGTGTGTGTGTGTATATATATATATATATATATATATATATATATATATATATATATATATATATATATATATATATATAGATGAATGATCATTTGAGAACTTATAGTTTCCCGAGAACTAAACAAGGGTCATTGGATCAAAATGATAGAAGGTTGAGATGCTCTGTGACATTTTTGTAAATACTTTAGAAAAATAATACACGGGGGTATCTTCATGAAATTAATCAAGGGGCATTTTCGGGATGATATCCCAGTCAAAATTCACGTCAAACTCATTCTCTCTTCTCTCTCTCTCTCTCTCCCTCTCTCTATCTCTCTATCTCTCCTTCCTCCTTGACGACGGGTGATTCATGATCTGTCCTCCTCCTCCGAACGACATTCTTCTCTGATGCTGGCAGCAAACTTCTTATCTGTCGATATATCCTTGTCGATCCTTCATCGATCCGGTTTCCCCCAAAAAAGCCCTAACATTTGGAATCATCGCCATCCACACAGTAATGAACGAGATATATTCTTCCTTCCTTCTATCATCCAAAGTGTGTCGCCTCCTCACTCACGTTCTTCCTCGTCGTCTCCTAATCGACCCAGATTTTGTAGTGGTTATCACTAATCAATGTGGAATCTGTAATACTCCAACGATCTAGGTTTTATTGTTGCTGATCAATAACAGTCCATCCTTCATTCTTGTAATATCTGAATTGATCGTGGTTTGCATACAAATCTATTTTGTCGAGCTCTCTCTACCCTTCATCTATTTCCCTCACATCGACCTACACTTCATCTATTGAATGTGTATTCTGGTAAAAAAAAGAGGGAGAAGAAAAATGCACCAAAGGTGCTCGATGAAATGCATGAAAGAAAAATACCACAAATATTGAAGTACAACATCACCTACCTGTTTCTGTTGACTTTCTACGCTGCACCTCCGGTAATCTACACTTTCTCACTTGTTATTTCTAGTTTCCCTTAAGTTTAAGATAGTTACACCCTTAAGGTTTGGTTAATATTAAACTGATTATATGATAATGTCTCCATTCATTTACTTGATTGGGGTGACATAAGTAAATTGATTGTTGAATATTTAATTTTTAGAGTACATCAGGAAACAAAGCAAATGAGGATCTTGCTGCAGCTACAGGTGTTGTGAAGGTCTGTCAACATTCAGTTTTTTGTTGGTAATCAAGAATTGTTTTTCACTAGGTTTTATTAAAGAGTTCACTAATATGTGTTATTTTTCATCTAAATTTATACAATGAAGATATCCTACAATCAAGGAAGACTTCCAATCCGGTGACCTGTGAATTACTCTGATATCTTCAAAGGTTGAGAGTGAGAGATTATGATGTTCAAAAATGGAAGATTTTTAAGGTATGTTAGTTTCTTCAATTTTGATCTGAATTCTTCTTTGATTGTGACAGATACTGCTTATTCGTGTTTAATTTTCTTAATCTGAACATTTTCTTTGATCAAAATTTCTTTAATTTGGTGAATTTGTCACAAAACAGTTAATAATTTTTTTAGCTTAAACTACTCTATTTTATTGGTAATCTCAACCAAGAAACCTGAAAAAGTTGAATAGTTTCTATAATGGTTTATGGAAGTTGGATGGTTTTAGTAACTACATCATCATTTTATAATATTTAGTTTATTTAAGTCTTTTTTTGGGCACTTGAGAACAAACACTAGAAACTGTTATTGAGATAATATAAGGGTATATAAGTAATTTCATTTTTGTTTTGTTTGCCAAATTAAATTAGGCGCCCTCGAGTGGAAGGAACGGTATTATGAATAATTCAACTAAAAATATAAAGGAGATGGATGCAATAAGGAGAGATGTTGTAAGCCTCTAAAATTGTTAAAAACTACGCCAATGATTTACCATTTTACGATGTAAAATCATCGTAGACATCATATAAAGTCCTTGTTATATTGTTACCTTTTTATTTAAAAATATTTGATGCAATTCTTTATATGTTCTAAAATATACAGATAGCCTATTGGGTGATGCGCTATTAATATGAAGGTGTTGGTTCATGGCAGTGGTAATTTTTCCCCTTGAAGGTGTTTATTATTGTTTTTGCCTTTTTAATCGGACATATTTGCATTATATAAGGTTTTGTTATATTTTTTTGTTTTCATTTTTGATTTCAAACTTTTTATTCCAGGTTTTATATTTACCATTATGCATTATTTGCTTCTGATCGCAATGATCTTAATAAGTTAAATATAATCTTTGAGCTAGGTTCGCCTTTTAAACCGTTTAATCAACTGCTAGGGGGTTTTCCTACTGCAATGTTAATTTCGTCCTTTTACCTTTTACCTTTTCTCTTTTTCAAGATTATTTTATATTTTATACTTTCTAACTTTGTTTATTGTTTTCTTTTTACCTTGAAAATATTTGTAGTGCACATGCACTTCCAGAACAATATAGAAAATTAGTGACAGATCCAAACTCGCCAATTGTTGATTTTTATCCAACGGGTATGAAAAAAATGAACATTTTTGTACTTTATAAATAGGTTTGAAGTTTTTTAAACTTAAATTTCATGATTAATTTTTTTTTTGTTCATCAGATTTTGAAGTAGACACGAATGACAAGCGGTTTGCATGGCAGGTTTGTTATTTCAGTATTTTCAATATGGTCATGAAAATAATGCTACTAATCTAGTAATCTATTTTTTTTAATTAAAACAAAATACAACTTGCAACCTTTCTGATTGTTTTATTTTTTTACTCAAAAACAAATTTGGAAATTTGTTAAAAATTAGTACTTAATGGGAATAAAAAAAGCTTTCTTTCGTTGGCTTTTTGTATTATTGTATTAAGTTCTTTCTGAATTAATTCATAAAGACACACACATATATCTTATGGAATTAAGTTTGGTTCTCATTAAGTCAATTAAGTAAAAAATAAAATAAAAAAGACTCATATATAACTTATCAAATACACTTATTACATGTGAATCACATATGAATCACATGTAATTCACATGTAAATCACAAGTGAAGCACATATGAATTACATGTGATTCACATGTAAATCACAAACGAATCACATATGAATTACATGTGATTCACATGTAATTCACATATGAATTACATGTGATTCACTTGTAAGTCACATGTAATTCACATATGATTTACTTGTGATTCACATGTAAATCACAAGTGAATCAAATATGAATTACATGTGATTCACATGTAAATCACATATGAATTACATGTGATTCACATGTAAATAACATGTAATTCACATATGAATTACATGTGATTCAAATGTAAATAACAAGTGAATCAGATATGAATTGCATCTGATTCACATATAAATAACATGTAATTCACATATGAATTACAAGTGATTCACATGTAAATCACATATGATTCATTTGTGATTCACATGTAAATTACAAGTGAATCACATGTAATTCACATGTAAATCACAAGTGAATCACATATCAATTACATGTGATTCACATGTAAATAAGAAGTGAATAACATATGAATTACATGTGATTCACATGTAAATCACAAGTGAATAATATATGAATTACATCAATATGCACACATCCATTTTGTGTGAGTATTCTTCGTTAATTATATTTTTTAATATTTTCTTGTAAATTTCACATTTGAATCTTAAAAGGTACAATCAAATGTACATATCACATTATATAATCATATGTGAATGTTACATAATATAATCATATGTGAATCTTACATGATATATACATGTGCAGTTTTGTGAGTGTTCTTGCATTAATCAAATTTTTTTTTATAATTTTCTTGTAGATTTTAAAGAATTTGTGGAAAATATTGAAGAGGTGAAAAGTGATAAATTGAAGAAAATAAGGAAATCTTGATATGAATAAATGATAACACTGTGAATATTTGTAGTTTTTTTTTATATTTTATTTTGTATCGAATAAAATACTTGTAGTATTAATATAAGAAATATGCATATATGCATTTGAAAAAATATGCATATATGCACCTAAAACGTTGATTTTTTCTTTTGTTAAAAAATTAGAGTTTTTTTAAAATATTCTAGTTTTTTTTAATTTACTGATTTTTAAAAATTTATTTTTTTAAAAAAATACAGTTTTTGTTATAAAATGCAGTTTTTTTTCGAAAAAAATGCAGTTTTTTTTTAAAAAACTGAAGTTTTTTTTTTTAAAAAAATTGCAGTTTTTCTGAAAAAAAAATGCAGTTTTAAAAAAAAAATATATTTTTTTCAATTTTTTTATATTCATGTTTTCTGAAAAAAAATATCCATTTTTAAAAAAAAAATCGAAATTTATTTAAAAAAAATCCGAAATTTTATTTATTATGTTATTTTTTAGAACTTTTTATTAGTATTTCCAATAACAAAAAAAAAATTAAACAATAAATGAGATTGGTAAGATGACGATCATGTCCTTAATGAGTTAATTTTGATGTAACGCTTCACCTTTAGTTTTCAACGGATCTCACCCATATATATATATATATATATATATATATATATATATATATATATATATATATATATATATCTATATATATATATATATATATATTTGATTTATACATGTAATTTAAGTTTTGATTACACTTTTTAATGAATAAAGAATTAGTGGTATTTTCCGCAACAATATCTTATATAAAGCCATTCTTCACGAGGTAGATCTCAAAATCAGAAGGAAGGTTAATTAGTATGTTTAGGAGCGAAAATATTAAGACGACTAAATTAAAGATCATAGTATCATTCATCCTTTCATTAATAAGGAAGAGACGGTATCATCGGATTGCCGATTGGAAGATATTCGAACTCACACTTATTATTAGTTTTGATGGAGATTCATAAAATATATTATTAATTATAAGGCTTATTTACTTAATACAAGCATAACTGAATACATATAATCACTTAGAGTACTAAAAAACGAAATGGATTTGGAATAGTATTATAACTAAGCCTAAACTTAAAACTTCCTATACCCAATTAATAACGAAAACCATCACTACAAAGTTTTCTAGACAATAATTAAATAACACAAGATGCATGTTATTAGAAACAAGATGGTTGTCCCTACATTATTATCGAGGAAAAATAAAATGATCATAACATTTTTCCTTCGATAGATGCGTGGATGCATATACTTCTTGTTCCCCTCTCTTTCTGATCCTCCGGGAAATAGAATTCTAAATACTTGGTTTCTAGAATTTTTGCCTTTGGAAGCTTATTTAGAGCTTGAACTTCTGTCTCTTTGGGAAGAAGAAAGTATGGCATCAATCGCGTCTTTAACTTGTGAAAGCTCAGGTGGTTTTCCACCTTGTACTGGCCAGAACTCATCAGTTGCCAACACCTGCAAATATAATAAAGAAAAAGGCTTAATTATATGACCAAAATATTATTGATTACATGCATTTAATGTTCAAGAATATAATTGATTAATTATTACCTTCACTTGCAACTGAAGGAACTTTACATAACTAATGGCTTTCTCCAACATGGTAACCAAATCAACCTGAAGTGAAATATACTTTATAAACGTCGAAAACATTGATTGTAAAATCATAATTCAGTATCTAAATTTTTCTAAACAATTACCTTGGAACCATTTGGCACGAGATCCTGAAGAACTTTCAGCCGTTCACTAATTCGTTCTCTACGATTCTGTTAAGACACAAACATTCCATTCTCAAATTTGATCTGATTTTTGCTTACGTTTTAAGTAACTGAGCGTTTGTATATTATGATTAACTGAGACAAAATTTAATTAATTCTCATGTAGATAAAGTTTATTACCTTGGCTGCGATACTTTGTGGATCCTTTGGTTGAACTTGAGTTGACTTTTGCTTAATCTTCTTTGTTGCTGTGTTGGTGGTACATTGTTTTTTGAATGCTTGATCACTCTCTCCCTGTAGAACGTTTTCAGTTTTAAATGATGGATCTTTACAAGAAATAAAATACGAAGGAGATATAAACATAAAAAGAAGAAGAATTTACCGAATGACTACGCTTATGGAAAGATGATTCTTGTGTTGCATGGTAATTCTCAGAAGAAGAAGGATTTGGCCATGTAAATGATTCCAATTCCTCATGATGGTTTTCTTTTATGCTACTACTTTGAATGCAATTCATATTTTCCAGCAAGCGTAAGCTATCGAAGGAACCAGACCCTAAATTCATTAGCTGCTCAGGGCTCAAGTTACTCGAATAGGGCTGTTCTTCATTTTCTTCAAAGCTAAGGAAACACGAACCACTACCACTTTGCATGAAACTATTATCGTAGTATCCTGGCTTGAAGCTTATAACCGAATGACCTTCTTCTTGTTGTAATTGTTGTTGATGATTTGTGGTAGCTCGGTATAGAAACCCACCCGAATTCGAAGCGCTGCCTGGACTAGAAAGTGAAGAAGAATTCGATGAACTTCCAGCAAAATTCCCTTTCTTTTCTGGGCTTTCACCCTCTTCGACTTCTCCAATGGCACTTCCATAAAATGTGTACGATTGATGGACTAAACCAGACATGTGTGAAGAGTGATCGTTAGGGTTTCTTTCTTTAGCGAGTGCCATTTTTGAGAAGAGGATATGAATGAAAACGAGAGAAGACAAGAGTGAGATATGAAGAAAGAGTGGGCATGTGGTTTTGGATTTATATGGGGTTTGAAAATGGGGTTCTGCCGGTGTTTCTGACCAATGAAAGTAAATCAGAGTCCAGCTTCATGAAAGAAATTATATTGTATATGGATCGTTAATTAGCTGGCAGAGAGATGAAGTGCATGGAAAAAAGAAAGACGAAGAAGATGATGATGATCATCATCAAGAGAAGAAAACAGCAAAAGGGTCGCCGGATTGTTCGCAAAACCCACGTCTATGAGATTCCACACCAGTACATTTCATTAAATTCCATTGTGATTAGCAACTGTTGCTTTCTTGAATTTTGGCCAAGGGTTCTTTAATAATAACAACCAAACCAAAATTGTAACATGCAGTATTATCTTATTGGAAATTTGTTAATTTATTTTTTTGTTTTTGTTTTTTTAAATGACAAACTAATTAGTGGAAGCCTAATCACAATATACTTTCTTGAATTTTGGCCAAGAGTTCTTTAATAATAACAACAAAAATTGTAACATGCATTATTATCTTATTTAAAATTTGTTTTTTTTTTCTTTTTTTTTTTAAATGGCAAACTAATTAGCGGAAGCCTCATAACAATATTTCAATTGTAACCCTGATTTCAAGCTTATTTACACGGCAAACTCACCCCAATTAAAATATTTCTAGGGAAAACTTCTCACACATAAACATAATTACAAGAGACAAATTTAACATATTCGAAGATTCAAACTTCTGACCTCAAACTCACATGGATATTAAACCTGAAGCATCTATCCAACTAGGCTAGACATCACTTGGTGGAAATTTGTTTACCATTAAAACGTTTAATCAATTCTAATAAAGATAAACTAAAATAAGATTTTATCTATGTTAAGTCAATAGATTAGTGTTTTAACAATGCTCATAAGAAATACAATTATTCATAAAATGACCTACAATACGAAATATATGTAAAAAATAGTTTAGTAACTATTAATATCATTGTAATTAACATTTAGTCCTTAATTTTCAAATAAGCAAAGTAACCAACATAATATATCATGGCGATGCAAAATAATACATAGTTATTGAATAGCTGAAGAGAGTATAATGGTAAATTATGATATATAATATATATATATATATATATATATATATATATATATATATAATATATATATATATATATATATATATATATATATGCCAATTTTTAGCCTATGACCGAGTAAGAAGGGTCTGGCCAAATCAACCTAATATTGTCGCTAACTGAATTAACTTCCAAGAAAACCCTTTTTTTCCCTAGCCCTAACAAGCCTTGTACAATACCTTCCTTTAAGCGACAATTTTCTTCAACGACTTCTTCACACTCGACTGACCTCAGCATCGCCGAAGTCTACCTTGTCAGGACCTGTAACGTCCCAAAAATCATAGTAAAATATTTTATTTTTTCAAAACCATTTTCACAAAATCATAAGTCAATCAACATTATTCCAAAACATAGTAATAAAATTAGAGTATCAAATAACATCTTCCGACATAAAAATCCACAAGATGATGTGTACGATCAAGTCTTGACTTTATCATGATAAGTTGAAGCACCTAAAAACATTTAAATCAACAATCGTAAGACAAAGCTTACTGAGTTCCTCCCAAAATACCACACACGACAATACACATACAATGCATGCACAGTGAGCCTACAATCTGCCATGCAAGACCGCCTCGTAAGGCCTACAGGATGCTTGGACCACTCTACCAAGCCTAAAGTCTACTGACCCGCCTCACAAGACCTATAATAGTCGTACTGCTCCCTTGGGCTTACAGTCTGAATGGACCACCTAGCAAGGCCTACAGTACACTAGACCGCCCGGGTACGTTAGCGTACATCACAAAGCAGGACCGTCTCAACCCAACTAACCACAATATGTCGACATATGAAAACAAATAAACAATAAACAACGTATACATGTAATCATACATATCTACCAATCTAACAGATCACTACAACATACCAATATCCTACACACAAGGATATATATTGCAGTACAAAGTATAATGAGAAAGCTCACCTTACAGTCTAGCAGATAACAGTACAGCTCTAGTAAATCCATAAACTGGTAGTACAGGTGGCCTATACATCAATCAGGGTCCAATCCTTAAACTACAGTCCACAACCCTCCAATTGATCTAAGGTCAAACTTTGTCAAAAATTCAACGGTCAAAGTCAAAGCCAATAGTCAAAAGTTTCACAGCAGGCCGCCACATCGTAGCCAAGCTTCTGCCACGTCGTGGTGGTCTCAAGCCAAAACAGTCGTGGAGACTAACTTTTCTCACGTCGTGAAGGTCAATCCTTCACGTCGTGGGAACTACTCTGGCCTTCTTAAAGCATTAAGTTTTTAATCACTAAGGCCACTAATCCATACTATCTAGAAGGTTTTCCTGTACCTAATGCATCATAAAAATCGGTGCTTTATAGAAATGAATTTCCAATGCATGTATCTTCCTTTCTAGGTAAATAAAACATGGAAGAAATGAATTCAAACTTGTAGATGAGACCAAAAACACCATAACACTCTACATTTGGAACATATAACCCTTAAGGAACCTTAAGGACCCATAAAGTTGCTAACTTTATGGAATCCACACATCCAAACCAACAAGAACATGAAGAACAAGACTCTAAACCTAGATCTAAAAGGTTTGAACACAAAAGATAACAACGTGCGGATTTGTACGGGTCCAAGAGGTATGCAACAAGATGATGGGGAGGTTTGCTTGCTGAATCAATGCTTAAAAACACCTTCTTGTCCTTTAAACTCACAAAACACCAAAAAACTTCAAAAATGACTCAATGGAGGCTAGTGTTTCTTTAAGGGTGGAATGGTGGTGATGGAGGCTAAGGGTGTGCAAAGTTATCCCTCACTTCCCTTAAATAGGGCTTAAGGCCCAAAAAATTAGGGTTCTGCATGCAGGAGGCTGTCACGTCGTTACCAATATATTGTCACGTCGTGCCACATAAATGAGATGCGTGTTTTCATCGGGGACTACCATGTCATGGCACTCTCATGGTCACATCGTGCCCAACAAAAATGCATCCTTGAGCTTGAAAATCCACACCAACAAAACAAGTATATACCTGGAACTTGGTGTTACAAATTCTCCACCACTTGAACTAGATTTCGTCCTTGAAATCCTTATCTACAAATAGATATGGGTAGTGCTCGCACATCTCCGACTTGAGATCCCACGTCCACTTGGAACCCTTCTGATGTTAACACTTCACCTTAACTAAGGGCATCACCTTGTTGCGCAAGGCATTCATCTTGCTGTCCAAAATCGCAACCGACCTCTTCACATAATTCAGACGCTCATCGACCTGAGTGTCATCCAACGAAAGTATTGTTGAATCATCAACCAAGTACTTCTAAAGATGAGAGACATGAAAGGTGTTATGAATCTTACTAAACTCCTCTGGTAGATCCAATCGGTTGACCACCTTTCCCACCTTGGCCAATACTCGAAAAGGTATGATAACCCCGCTTCCTGAAGCGTATAACACCCTTCCAATGTGACACCTTCAGCAGAACCATTTCCCCAACCTGAAACTCCAACTCGAACTATCGCCTATCAGCGTAACTTTTCTGTCAACTCTATGTTGTTTGTAACCTTTCTCTAATATGCTGGATAAGCTATGTCATCTGGAGTACAACCTTAGTCCTCTGCATGACCCTTTGGGCGACCTATCCCCAACAAACTAGAGATGACGCTTCCTCCCATACTGAAGCTCATATGGAGGTGCACCAATGTTGTAATGATAGTTGTTGCTATATGAAAACTCTGCTAAAGGGAGGTAGGAGTCCCTGCTCCCACCAAAATCAATAACGCAAGTCCTCAACATATCCTCAAGCGTCTGGCTCGTCCGCTCACTCTGCCGATCTATATGCGGGTGATAAGTAGTGCTGTAGTGCAATCAAGTACCCAACTCCTCATGAAAATTCTCTCAAAACCCGGAAGTAATTGAATATCTCAATTAGATACAATGGAAATCATCACACCATGGCATCTATTTCTACATAGGAATCTCTAAGGGCTTCAACATCCCGTACGGTCTCTAGTGCTCGACCTTGACCAGTTGACCTTCCGATAGGTCAAACATCTCTCCACATACCAAGCTATCTCTGTCTTCATGCAAGGCCACCAGTAGCTAAGTCTCAAGTCTCGATACATCTTTGTGGCTCCAAGGTGAATCGAGAACCTAGAGTTATACGCCACCTATAGCAATGTCTGACAGAATCCACCAGAAACTGGAACCCAGACTCATCCACAATGGGTCAACAATCATCGACTCTGTTAGGGTGTAAATTTCTCCTTGGATGTGACTTACCCTCTTGTGATGTGTAATGGGTTGAGTCTTTCCTATAAATAGCAAGTGAGCGCCTCCTATTTATGAAGAACCATTATGCAACCCATTTGATGTGAGATTTAGTTCAGAGAGAGAAAATATTACAATTGGGGAAGAGCACTTGAATTTTTCGACTCGAGTCCCTAATCTGTCAACGTTTTGGTAGATTTTACCCAATTTCGGATTGGGGTAATTTTCTATGAAAAGTAAAGATATTCCATTTCGAGTCCTTGAAGTTTCAGAATTTAGACAGTTTATACCTAGTTTTGAGTTGGTGGTATAATTCTGTGAAGTGGGAAGATTTTTCAGATTTAGTCCTTACAATTGATGTGAATTGATGCCTAGTTTAACATTTGGGATAAGGTTTCACATTTAAATTTGATTTTTTGCAAAGGGTCCCTTCAGAATTTGCATAATTGACAACTGTTACCCAGTTTTTTGAAATTCATGCAACTCTTACCCAAAAGTCGAAATTTTCGCAAAATTTGGAATTTTTTCTCAGCTTTTCGTGATTGTTTTTGGTGCAAGATTTTAGCGGTTTCAATTTTTTCACACATCGACGGGGAGTTTTCTCAGGTTTATTCCTCGAGCTTCTCATGCCCT